TAAGTATCACAATTTCAAAATTAAGGTTTGAAATTTTAAATTTCAAAAATCAGGTTTTCAATAAAATTTATTTATAATTTAATTAATTAATTATATATTTTATTAATAAATATATAAATGTCATAGATCTATGCAAATTTTAAGGTCACAATTGAAAAAATTTATAGGTCACATTTCGTTCATCGATCACAAATTAAAATTTTAAAAGTCACAATTTGTTCGTCAAAATAAATCACAAAATTTATAAATCACAAAATTTATTTTTTGGTCACATATTACTCTTAATGGTCACAACTTAATGAATTTGTAGGTCACACAATATTTAATGGTCACAATTTATTCTTTATTGGTTACATACCAACAAATTTATTGGTCACAATCAACAAAACATTTGTGACCACCACCAACACAACACCACCGTCGTCTCTACCGCCACCGTCGCCGCCACCACCAACACCACTAAAGTACACCACCACCACCGCCGCCGCCAACACCACCATAACCATCACTTCATAGCAACAAAATCACTGTTTCAAACATTGCACCCAATGTTATAACCACCACCACTACACCAATATTGCTGCCACCACCACCTCCACCTCTACCTCCATCGCGCCCCACACTAACCCCAATCCACTACACCTACCACCAAAACAATAGGACACCATCGCCACTACCTATCAAAAACGACCTCCCCACCAAAACACACAACCAACGCACCACTCCAAAACAACAGGACCTCACAACTACATCCCCACCAAAACCCACCGAACCACTGCACCCGCATCCAAACCCGAAAAAAACCCTCCAGATCNACCACTCCAAAACAACAGGACCTCACCACCACCTCCTCGCCAAAACACACAGAACCATCGTACCACGCCAAAACACAAAGACCACCTCAACCGCATCCAAACCGGAAAAAAACCCTCCAGATAGGAACCACCGTACCCAACCCCCACCACCGCATCCTAAATCTCGCGCATACCTCGCATAGATCACAAACCTCCACCACCGTACACCACGCCACTACCACCTACTCCCGTCGAGGGGCCCACTGTTACCACCTCAGCAGTCGCAGCTGCACCCACACCAATTTCAACCTCCTTCGCCTGATTTTCATTAGTACCACCCCTCTGCTCAGCCATTTGTCGCTCTTCGACATCGACGACGACGGAGGGAAGAAGAGAGAGGCGAAAGACAGAAAGAAAGGCGAGAAATGAGAGAGCATGAGAGGTTAGAGAGAATGTGATAAATGATTTTTGATTTTTAAGGTTTGGGTAATTATAATTTCGATAGAAATTAATTATATTTAATATTTAAAATGAAATACCTGATTTT